GCCTAGCCCTGGGTAGGCCTACTAGTCCAAAGCCTACCCAAATTTTATCGAATGAGCAAAGTCCATTCCAGAAAGAAGAGGCTGAGAAAGAAAAGGCGGTTTGGCCATGAGTTTTTGTTAATGAGGGCAGACGATGAGATGGAGCATAAGGTAGCACCGTACTGTAAAGTTTTTAATTGCGTGTATGATACCCCGAAAACTAGCTCAAATTTACATGGTAAATCACTAGGAAAATAAGGGCACAGAATTGTCACTACTGCATATACAACATGGCTACATATATTAATATTAGGTCAAAGACTAATTTTCGGTCTATGCAGAATTCGGCCCTTATTTCCTGAAAAGCGCAGACGGATTTCTAGGCCTAAGTCTAGGAGAATATATCTTCCGTGCAGGATATTCCTCACACAGGCCTTACTTTACAGTCAGGTGGTAGAGAGTTCAAAAAGGTATGATGGTTGGAGAAATAGAAGGACCTTAAAATATGAAAATGTGTAATGTGCACATAATATACACGGTCAGCAGAATTTTAGTGCAGCCTTGTTTGATCGAAGAGATATAAACACAATGCGTACAGTCCTTTCTTGTACATTAATAGGCCTAGATTATGACCAACAAGAACTTGAAACTCCTTCATATAAACTATTAATTAATATATTATGAAAACATATTAAGTATATGATGTTACAATGTTACACAATGATTGTTTATTTATTTACTGTCTGCAGCTGGGAGTGACAGTAGCAGTGAGGACCCAGTAATTGGTAACTTGAACAAATTTGCTGTAGTACCACCAGGTTACACGGCAAGGCCAAGAAAGGGACATCTTATATTTGATGCATGCTTCGAATGTGGTACGTGTGTATAAAAAGCTAATCTATTAAAAAGTTCAAAATAACATTGGAAACTCTTGAGTGAAAAATTGTGGTCCATTAATGGAGTAATCCTATTAGAGTTTGGTTGCAGTGTTAAAGGATAGGATTTTCTCTGTTGGGATGAGGAAATGATGGTCTTTTATAGACCAGGCTATAATTGAGATAGGTGCCACTTGGAGAGGTAGAAATTCTCATATGGTTTTTCTAGACCAGTTTTTTATGGGGAATCAGAATATGTAAGGTAAAAGTGGCGTAACCTGAGAACTGTCGCGTGAGGGCGCTTTTTTCAAAATGGCCGCCAAAATCCAATAAACTACATATATATGGGTAAAATAAGCACAGAAGAGATAGGTTTGACCAACTTTTGAATATGTAATGATAGGAGTAAAGTATAACTAGCTCATAGAGATATAATAAGAATACTAGAGCGCTAACCGCAATGTATTCGATGTTCGAAATACGCAGAGCTGTGTGTGTGTACCATCCAAGATGGCTGCCATATATTCAGCCAATCAAATTTCGCCTGAGCACTATCATTTTCAATGGCGCCCTCAATTTACACCGAAAGTTCAGTACAGCTATGTTTGAAACTCGAGCGTTGCGGTGTTTGGGTGTAATGCACACGGTTTTAATTTTCATTCCTTGGTACTTTTTTTTAAATAAGATGCTGCACTTGGCCTCGTTTTGGCTACGACAGTTTAATAATTTGTCATTATCAATACTAATTATCATTAATGAAATAATATTCAGTCAGAGGGCTTATTTATGGTAATAATATGCATACTAAGCCTGAAGGTGGCGCTTTGCTACGGCAGCCATCTTGGATGGTACACATACACAACTCTGCATTGTTCCGCCATCAGCACTCTAGTTGTTTAATAGCTCTATGAACTAGCTATAGTTATTAATGTGAAGATTTCAAGAGGCAATTGAGGGCGCTTTTTAAAATGGCCGCCAAAATTAAAGAACAATTTAGCAGCAGCTTCAATACCCTAAATAATTTTTTTTTAATTTACAAAACATGAATGTAATAACTGCTGTTGACTGTTTAAACCCGAAGGAACATATTTTAGGGTGGTAAGCTAACTCACTTTTGGAAATGTAAGTAAAATGCCCCCTGATATTAGCCCTTTTCTGTTTTGAAAAATGAAAAATATCACCAGAATCCTAACAAAATTCCAGCTTTCTTACAAATATACGGTTGTTTTTCATTGTTTTTGTGTACTACACAAGGTATTCAAGAGGACCACACAAATAACTACCATAATTTTTATGTATAAAGTCATTAATTCATTTATTACACAATTGTCCTTTACTTTGTAACCCTATGTTGAGCAATAATCTTCATGTATTGCTAATATCAGTGCAATTTAAAAGTCTTCGTCTTTACTATAAACAGTTCTTGAACGTCCATGGGCATCACTTTCTCAATCATTTTTTGCTTCATTTGATCATTCCATCTGTTGTGAATACTATTTTTACTGACCAAATCATTTACGTCTGCTTAATTTCCATTCTTTAGCGATTAAATTTCCTCAAATGCTCAAGGGTCTGCTTGCAAACATGGTGGTAGCAATGATATGTCTGTGATCTTGTTGTCTCTATTGAACATTTCTTCTTGATTTACACGTTTCCCCTTAACTCCACGCCACAGTCTTCAAGATCCTCAGATATCTTCTGTGACAGAACACCTAAAACTTTGAAGTTATCAGAAATAGTCAACGAAACCTTGCCTTTGACTATGGAAGCATGAGACCCAATAAGGGATGATTTCTTCACTGGTGAAAGTTAATGCCACTTAATTTGAACATCTTTCTGTATTTGCCAGTGTTTGTCTCTAGAATGACTCTCTCCGTTGTCATAAAATAAGATATACAGTAGCAATGACTGCAATATCGATGTCTCCAGAATGGAACGGTTGATATTTATGTATTGGTTGTAATTCCTTAAAGCATGCATTGCATGCAGGACAAATTTCGAGTCTGCTTTTCTTGGCTGCTACGAAGATCTGGAACTAATACAAAATCTCTTTCAGTGACAAGGATGAATTCTCGCCGAAAGCAATATAGTATTCAAGAAGGTGGGCCTATCCAACCAGTTTGTCGAATTCCAGTTTGCCGAATCCAGTTGTTTACTGAAATCATGAAATCCCAGTTTGCAGAAACTCAGTTTGCCGAAACCCAGAATGCCCAATCCAGTTCACCAATATTATGAAATCCCAGTTTGCCAAAACTCAGTTTTCCGAAACCCAGTCCAAATCTCTGTGTTACAAAAGTACAGCATACTGTGCATTTGAAAGCTTCATTTGAGAGCTTCATTTGTGTACAAATTAAAAAGAAAAATATTGGAAGACAAAAAAGCTGTAAAAAACACACTTGAAAGCATGGCTATCAGTTAAAATTAGAATAAAATGAAATGAAATTAAGGATAAGCATCGTATCCTTCTAAAATACTCCCTCTGCAAACCCTATCAGGATTGTTGTGTCAGGTTGTGAATTGATGATATTGGAGGCTCTAGTCGGCCCCTTGAGTCAGACCCCCTGTCGACAAATTTCAGGAGCCACGATTGGCATGTGTGCATAATTGTAGATTATTATTAATTTGTTTATTTCCTTCATTATTTTTTTAAAAATATATTTATGTATTTATCATAGGTATGCTGATAAAACGTTTTAACTGCGAGGCCTATTAAATTGACTTTTATTTGCTGATAGCCAATTGATTTACATATTAAAACAAAAAGAATCATTTAACTACAATAAGCCGCTATTTCTTATACGAATACATAGTAAGAGAGTGTTCCAACATAAATGTTATGCTGTGTTTACTGTTTTACATACTGCTTTTATTTTATTTTCGATAAAGAGGGTTTCAGGGCAAACTGGGTTTCAAGAAACTGGGATTCGTAATTTTTGATTCAGAAAACTGGCATTCGGCAAACTGTGTTTTGGCAAAATGAACTCGAAAATCGGGCAGTCGGCAACCTGGGGTAGAACCACCAGAAAGAAGCCGACACGAAAGTCTTCCTTTATGCAAAGCATACGAATAACAACCAAGGCATAGCAATCATCCGTTCCCTTTCTCGAGACATCAGACAATTACACCCCGGCTTTCTTTCGTAAAGGAAACTTTCAGCAACTTCGGAGTTAAGGAGAAAAGTGTAAATCAAGCAAGTAACATGTTCAATAGAAAGTTTCGCAGAGACAAGATCACTGACATATCATTGTTGCCACCATGTTAGCAGAATTTCGAGCTTTAGATACATAGCAAACTCAATCGTTCAAGAATGAAAATAAGCAGAGGTAAATGACTGTCAATAAAAAAAGTTGATGGAACAGATGGAATATACAAATTCCCATGGAAGTAAAAGAATTGTTCATACGATAAATACGAAGACTGCAGTGATAAAATCGATACCTGAAGATTATTGCTCAACATAGGGCTACACAGTTAAACACTACAAGACAAATATTGTAGGAAATAAATTGATGCCTTCTTCATACATGAAAATTGTGGTAGTTGTCTGGAATACTTTGTATAGCACACAGAAATAATGAAAAACAACCGGATATTTGTAAGGAAGCTGGAATTTTTTTAGAATTCTGGTGATATTTTCCATTCTTTAAAACAGATAAGGGCTAATATAAGGGGGCATTTTTACTTACATTTTCAAAAGTGAGTTAGCTTACACCCCTAAAATATGTTGCTTTAGGTTTAAAAAGTCAACAGCAGTTATTACGTTCATGTTTTTTAAATGAAAAAAAATTATCTAGGGTATTGAAGCTGCTGTTAAATTGTTATTTAATTTTGGCGGCCATTTTAAAAAGCGCCATCAATTGCCTCCCGAAATCTTCACTTTAGCTGGTTATACTTTACTCCTATCATTACATATTCAAAAGTTGGTCTCTTCTGTTCTTATATTTTACCCATATTATATGTAGTTTATTTAAATTTGGCGGCCATTTTGAAAAAGCGCCCTCACGCGAAAGTTCTCAGGTTACACCCCTTTTACCTCACATATTCTGATTCCCCATAAAAAACTGGTCTAGAAAAACCATATGAGAATTTCTACCTCTCCAAGTGGCACCTATCTCAGTTATAGCCTGGTCTTAAGGCTGGTGGTCCCTTAATATAGGTGGCCCATTTAGAGTTTCCACTGTAGTATTAATGTTTGGTATTTAAATTATTCTAGAACTTTTGTACCACATGCAAAACAGAAATTCCCAACCACTTTGGAAAATCAAATGTACCGTTTTACAAATTTTTTTTCGGATTTCAGGTAACCTTGGACGAGTAGATTACATAACTGACTATGAATATGACTTGTTTATCCGACCTGACACTTGTAACCCACGCTTCCGAGTCTGGTTCAATTTTACTGTAGAAAATGTCAAACAAGACCAGGTGAGATTCAACATGTGTTATTAGGCCTAAAAAAAAATATGATTTGTTTGCTGTCACATTGTAAATATTTAAGTGAAGAGTGAATATGAGGCTAATTTTTTTGTGGTTTGGAATAGGAAGAGGGATCTTTAATTGGAGTAAGACACTTGATTAAAATAAACTACTGCACTATGTATCAGGTTAAGCTCACCAGCTTCATTTACTTATTAAATGTGTAAAATCAAAATTGTGTCAAAAAAAAATGATTTTTTTTTTTTTAACTTAAAAAAAAATAAAAACCTGCCCCTCATTTTTCTGATTTTAGGGGCGGCGGATGACAGCAAACAAACAATTTTTTTGTAGGCCTTATGTCATTACCATGGAATTTATTATTATAGAAAATCTATAGAGCTGTGTTGCTATCGAGGACTTTTAGTGGTTTTGATTTATCCCCTAGTCAATATATTGACAGCATCTTAACTTCTTAATTATATCAAAAATTTATCTTAAAATTTTTGTTTAGATTTCTGCCTACTTTGACATGTACGATAGTGTGATGGTGATTAATGATGATGAGGATAATGATAATGATCATGATGGTGGTGATGATGATGAAGGTGATGACAATGTTGTTAATAATGATGATGGTGATGATGATGATGATGAGGATGTTGGTGATGATGAAAATTTTGAATTTTATATATTTTTATTTTGTTTTACCTATTATTATCTAATAAGATATAACTATTCATTATAATTTTTTATATAATAAATTGAATTCAAATAATTATTGATATTATGATTTTTAATTTTCGTTTTATTTCAGAGAGTTATATTTAACATTGTAAATTTTAGTAAGACGAAAAGTTTATATAGAGATGGCATGTCCCCAGTCGTTAAGTCAACATCAAGACCTCGATGGTATGGCTTTGGTTTTTATTCAGTTTTACATAACACATTTTAAAATTTTCATATCATTATCGTAATAATTATTGTCACTAATGTTGCCATCATCATCAGTATCATAATTTTTAAATTGATATTATAAAGAAGAAGCCCGGGTGGTCCAATGCCCCTCCCCTCCACTATGTCCAGGTACCCAATTAGCCCAAGCTCCTTCACTTCCACCATGTGCCGGGCCCAATCAGCCCCCATGCCCTCCCCTTCACCATATCCAGGTACCCAATCAGCCCAAGCCCCTCCCCTCCACCATGTGCAGGGGCCCAATCAGCTAAATAATTGTCCAGAAATAATTGCATTCACATTTCATCCTTGATGTGCAGATAAAAACATGTTTTTAACTGATTCAGATTGTGAACCTGTTGTATGTATAGATAGGAATAACAAACTGTTTAATAGATAGATAGAAGTTTTGGTTGACATTTATGGCATTTGTGATAAGTGCAATTTAGATCAAGTAAGGGTTAAAGACCCCAGTCCCTAATCGTGAACTGGGCCCATGAAACCATAACTACGACACTGAAACCCTCCTGTAAATAAAATATACACAAGCAATTGCTACATACGTGAAATATAGGTATAAAGTGCGTCAATGGGTATTGTAAATAACCTAAAACTAATAGATAGGTTCAAATTATAGTATATGTCCTCGGGTCAGAATAACATCGTATCTCTGTTTTTTCCATTTCCAATAAAAACCAGTATTTTTAGGTTTTGATTTGCTCATGGTAATATGCGTCAGTATTAGACATAATTTAATGTTTTCTAATGGATGCACCAACTATTAATGTGTTTTCTTACAATGACACTTTTTCAATCTACAAATTTTAATTAACACATTATTATTAACTACCAGTGATTTGAGTGACCTTGTTTATCACCATAATTAGTATCTATATCTGAGCATTCCTGATGATGACATAAATAATGTCGAAATATTGAATCCCAACACGATGGCGTGTATTTCAATACTTGGAGTATGTATTATACTTTCATATCTGAGCACTCTTTCTAATATTTACCTACATTACTTTTAACATTTTATTTAATAACAGGGATACAAAACAATATCTGTGCTAAATTTTACATCAAGACAGTTACGACCTTGTTATGTTACTTTAGGATTGAGATTGTGTTATTTAAGTAGTAGTAGTAGTAAAACTTTATTTATTCACGAAGCACAAATCAACAAATACATGCTGTTTTTCATTATGGCCGTGAGATACCTTATTTACAATTAACAAATTACACATAAAGGTACATCATAAAAAGCAAAAGTTAAATGCAGAAATTAAATAAAATAGATACAAAAGTGTTTTCACCACGGCAGTGCTATCACATGTAAACAATCATACAAGTCAAAACAACTTTTTTTAAATTAACAAAATTATCCTTTTTCACTTTGTAACTATAAACATTTTTTAATTTCAAGAGGTTGACCAATCAGAAGTGAAACTGTAGTTTTTTGGTTAAGAGGCTTTCCTTTTAATCCCAGGGTCCTGGGTTCAAATTCTGCAATGTTGATGGAGAGTGGAGCTGTAGCTTGGTGGTTAAGGTGCTGCCCTCTATTCCCAGGGGCTCAAATATGTGTGAAACCTGTATTATTCCTTTCATCTAAGAAACAACTGCATTCCATATTTCTCATAAAATGTCTTTCATCTCAGAAAAATCTGAAACCTACTTTGTAGAGCATCATGCCCTCCTTTAATTGGCAATTGTCCTTCATTTTGGTTGTCAAAAAAGTATTTTAGAAACTTGCATTACCAAAATCTCAATTATTTAAATGTTACAATGTGGTTATCCCAACACAATGCTAGTTTATAATCTTAAATTCTGTTTTCTTCATACCACAGGCAAAGAATTCCATCTAAGAACGTATACTATTACAAATGTCCAGAACACAGGAAGAATTATGTGATGTCATTTGCATTTTGCTTTGACCGAGACGAGGACACGTACCAGTTTTCATATTCTTTCCCATACTCTTACACCCGTCTACAGACTTACTTAGGTGCGATAGAAAAGAGACGGCTTGACTATTTCCAGCGAGAACTTATATGCTTTAGTGTTGTATGTATTATTTTAAATCATCTTTTTTTTTTTTTAAACTAAAAGTCCATCTTGTTATACCATACCAAAATGATGAGGATGATGATGATAGTAATGATTCTGTGACGATGGTGATGGTGAAAATGATACGAGGGTGGCAGTGGTGCTTGTGGTTCAAATGATATTAATTATAATAATGATAATATTAGTAAGAACTATAATAACAAAAATAATAACAAATAGAAATCAAAATAAATGTTAACTTTTAGATTCAGTGAAAAAACCTAATTTATTGATGTTTACTCTGTGTCTATAGCAACAAAGGCGATTAGATTTACTGACAATTACCAATCCAGAAAATCTTGCAAATGCATCTCAGCACGTGGTCTTCATTACCGCACGAGTACATCCAGGGGAGTCCCCAGCATCTTATGTTTGTCAGGGTAAGTGTTAGTGTTTGTCAGAGTAAGTGTTAGTGTTTGTCAGAGTAAGTGTTAGCGTTTGTCAGAGTAAGTATTAGCATTTCTCAGAGTAAGTGTTAGTGTTTGTCAGAGTAAGTGTTAGTGTTTGTCAGAGTAAGTGTTAGCGTTTGTCAGAGTAAGTGTTAGCGTTTGTCAGGGTAAGTGTTTAGCATTCACATGCGCTGCATGGCTACATGCCAAAAATTCATTTGTACTTATAGGCTAGTGATATTATGATTGAAATAATTTAATTTTTTTACTAATTGTTTGGGCGTGGTTGTTTATGCTTTGTTTGATTTTTTTTTGTTTATCTATAACAAGCACAGGTAAAAAGACAAAAATAACAATAAAAATTACAAGTACAAGTACCCTTAGAAGATATTGGTATTGAACCTGCAAAGGGATTATTTCCAGAGGGATTTTAATTTTTCTGCTGGTTCATCATGCACAACACACTCTGCTCCTAAGAGGATTTTTTGCCTTTTATTGTAATTATTATTACTTTTCATTAAGCTGATCCATGGAATACATAAACAAGTATTATATTACCCCCAAGCTCCCCATCTTTCAGAATTTATTGGCTTTTTATGCAGATGCTTATCTTTAGCCTGTTATTTGATATTGTGAGACCTTAAATCGGCCTCGTCTGTTAATAAACTTGTCATAAAATGTTGAGTTTGTTGGGGGAAGAGGATAAACAATAAGTGAACTATAGAAATGCAGTTGTGTCGTATTAGAAAGAAAGTTCCATGAACACGGAGTGAACCTGCAAGGGTGTTTTAAATATTTTGTGCATGCAAGTAAAAAGTAAAGATAGGCAATTAACCTGTAACTTGCAGCGTCATTGTGCTGAATTACGTGGTCTGTGATTATTGATGCTGCCATAGAGAGACACTCAGTGGCTTCTAAAATGAGTGGGCGTAAAATGAAAAGTCTTACTCCTCCAAAAGATACTATAGCTAGATGTGTCGACAGGCTCTCTGGTTTAGAATCCTATCCGAGAAAATAATTCTACCACCTAAACCATGAGTGAGGAGGGTCGCGAACCAGTGCTGAAGCTAAGGCTATATGTTTTGGTGACCCTCCCTTACCGCTTGAATTACCCTAAAATGAAAACTGTTAGGGCTATTATATGGTATAAAATACTCACAATATAAAAGATTATTTAAATATTAAATTTCAACTATTAAACTATGATAAAACATTTCAAAGGTATGATTGATTGATTGATTGAATATTTGTGATGAATGTATAGATTGAAAATATCAATGTAGCCTTTTCAATGATTACCAATTTTATACAGATGTGATTGACTTTTTTTACAAATAACCATGTAATCACTTATAATAACCTATTATAAAAGATCAAAAGAATATGCAAAGGTTGAAATAATAAGGAATTTATTGATTTTCGGCATGACAATCGTTCTATTAATGCAGATATCAGGAAGCATGGAAGGAGAATAGTTTCATGAAATGGTTGGTAAAAAAAAAAAAAAATAATAATAAAGACAACCTTTAATGTTTGTTGCCAACAGGATAATTCCTTTCAGTGCTTGAAAGTTCAAGGACAAATTCATATTATTGTTTTGAGAATTTAATGAAAACATGTTTTTACTTAATGGTCCCTTGTCTCCAAACAAAAGCTGATGTGACAGAAAGCATTCTCTTATGCTGGTCTTGCAGGGAGCAAGCACACTAATCTTAATGTTGCCAAATGACCAGGTTCTCCATCCAAAGCAAGTATTGTTATGATAGACTTGTCAGCAAAAATATTGAGTTATGATAAATGGACAAGAAAATCAATGAATCGGAATTTATGGAAAGTATTTAATAAGTAGTGTTGGAAAGGAAGCGAGTTTCATTATGCATTCACGTGTAAAGATAAACACACGTGGCTTGTTATTTAATTCATGCGTTGGGTGATTACGCACATATAGTACATGGATGCGAGGTGGTTGTGGTTTTCTTGTTTACATCTAAATGGATTTATTGTTGCAGTGGATGGTATCAAGAGAGTTTTTTTTAATTAAAAACAAAGTGTGTCACATCAACACTCTGGTTTTTGTGAGTGATGTGACACTGTTGTTGGAGGGCTTGTTTCACAATTCATATGTGGCCTTGCAACTACTTACTGAATGTTTCCATACAAAAAAAAAAATTGATCGATGTTGCTCAGTTCATTATCAGAACTTTTGAAAGGCTTTTAGTACAGTTTAGTTCATTAGATGTGTGTTTTATTTTTCATTCATAATTTTTAGTTCGATCCTGGTCCAATCATTTTTAATTTATTTGTTATTTATACTGGGTTTCCTTTTCAGTAACAAATTACTGTTCTCCCAAAGGGCCCAGTACACATAAAACAGTCCACGACACACAAGACAAATATACACACATCAAGATGATTTTACTTAACATAAGGACAATGATCTGTATGGGTTAACACATTTTTTTGTTTCATTCTTTTATTATAATGAAAAATAATATATAAGTTGGTAAAAATTCCAACTATCCAACTTTGATTGAGTGAATTAAGTATCAGTGTGAGGTTTCGAGAGAATTTGAAGTTGTTTTTGAAACAAGAAATTATTATTATATTGATTTTATGGAAAATATTTCTGGTTTACTGATCGTTTTATTTTTGAGTAAAGATATTCATATCAAAGGCCACTGCAGATGATTCAAGACTGAATCATTAAAATGTTGCCTAATGTGTTTTTACTGTAGCCTGTGGACATAGCTAGATCAATGTCTTTTTTTTTGGTACTGTTAGTTAACGTCTTGAGTAGGAATAATCATCGTCGGCCTTCATTACGAGTCTATTACTGAACTGAGTTCCCAGTATATTCATTAAGCCCTGTGTTTTGGGATGAAATGCCATTTACTGAACTCTAATAGAGGGAGCTAATTGAAAGCATTGCTTTATTGGTAATTCGTGTTCATACTTGACAAGAATGCGCAGAAAAGACAAGAATGCGCAGAAAAGACAAAAATACTTGATTAAAAATTCAAGGAGGCAACCATTGATGGTTAATGTGTTTTGCTGTAGGGCTTTGATATCTATTCATAATTCATTGTTTGTTAATAATAATATAGGATGGAGGTTGATTGTAGTTGACTAGTATCATGCAGTCCGTTGGGTCTTTGTCACCTTTACATTAACAAGAGTCACTTTTGATTCTAATTAACTATGTTCTTCAATTTTAATGGATTAATCATGTGCTTAACATTCAATATTTAGCTGTTGTGTCTTCCTTTCCGAAATATCTTAAATACTCTTGTAGAAATATCAATAGATCTTTCAGTTAAGATTTAAAATGTAATTATTTTTTTGAAAAATGTTTAGCTTTTCTTATACAATGTACTTTTTTCTCTCATTCCTTATTTTTTTCAGTAACTCTCCATTTACTACTAATTTGCTTGAAAATTACCAAATTGACTGAGTTTATATTTGATTTTTCCCTTTTAACCAAATGTTAGATATTTCTTCTTTGGGTGCACACTACACTGTTTACACTACTTTGTGTTCTCACTACACTGTGTTCACACAACACTGTGTTCACACTACACTGTTTACACAACACTGTGTTCACACTACACTGTGTTGAATATCCTCAAAAGTTATCATAATGATATTCACTGAGGATGCTATTCACATTTCATTTATAATTTTCACCATTTTCATTACTTTTTCCTTTCTAATCAAATAGTTTACCTGTCAATGTTGTATGATGTCTCTTGCATTATGCCTATACTAATAACTCAACTCATCAGAAAGTTTTCCCTGAGGCCAATTGCGGGTAACATACCGCAACTTTCCTCATAAATGTACTTGACACCCTAGATGCCCAGATAATGAATGAAACAAGAATAACGATGATTTATGATTATGTAAATGTGTTTCCCCCATACCCACAGGCTTAATTGATTTCTTGTTGAGTCAGCATCCAATTGCTAAGGTCCTGAGGGAACATGTGGTCTTCAAGATTGTTCCAATGTTGAACCCCGATGGTGTCTATTTAGGTAACTACAGGTGAGTACAAACATGTTTAAAGTTGGTGTGAAGTAGATGCTGTAGAGGGCAGCAGGCATGATTTTGATGATTATGATGTGGCATATTATGTGAAGACAAAAACAGTAAAAATGATTGATAAGAAACAAAATTAATAATTAAGAGGTAAAAATTAATGATAAGAAGTTAGATAATGATGGTAAGATGTTACTGATACAAATAAATGACGATAATAATTATAAAATATACTGGTAAAGATATAACAGTGAGGAAACAATAATATTGATAAATAATATAGATAGATAATTATAACAATAACGGATAAAGTTGATGATAATGGATGAGATAATGATAAAGATTACTATTATTATAGTTTTTATTATTGTTATTATAGTAATGATGTTAATGATGATGGTGATGGTGAATATGAATATGATAACGATGAATATAATGATAATGTGACAATAATGGTGATCGTAATAAAGATTTTGATTAAAATAAAATGAGATGGTACCTGTAATGACATTCATAATTAACATATGATAGTGATGTTGATTCACATTTTGATAACCGTTAATAGTGCATGTTAGATGCTGACGTTGATTGCTAATTTCTGATAGTTGATTTCTGAATGTTAATTGTCTTTCATGTTAGATGTTCTCTAATGGGTTTTGATTTGAATCGCCACTGGCACGAGCCGTCACCATGGGCTCACCCAACGCTGCATGGCACTAAGAACCTTCTCATGCAGATGGACGCTGATACTGTGAGTGTAAAATCCATCAATTTCAAAATATTTCAGAATTAATGGGTTATTGTCTTACCTTAATACCTTTTAACTTTTATTTTTAAATAAACCCATATTTCAAGTAACTTTAAACTGGATTAACCTTACATGTCAAAGAATTCAAGGGGAGATGCTCTATCTACACAAAGAAATTGATTTCTTGTATTATTATTATTGGTTCCTATGCTTGCAAGCATAGGAACTTTTAAAATCCTGCTCGTGTGTATGTAGTATGTATGTTATTAGTATGTTACGCAGTTTTTTGTAAACAGGCAAACATGACTTTCCAAACATCTGTTTGTTTTGTGCGTCCGTACCCAAGCTAATCTGGATCTTTTGTTGTGCCCTATTTCATAGTTTTCTATTTTGACAAATATTAAAGCCATACTAATGAGAGACAATACCCCCCTACTTTTGAAAAGACTAGTAAACTGTATGATAAGAGGAAAACATTTATGGAATGTTGTGTACTCTGTTGTCCAAACTAACTGTCTTAAATGTGATGGATCGGACTCCAGGGACTTTCCTTGCTGGTATGGATATAAAACTTTATCTGCACTCCAAAAACCTCAATTTTATACTACTGCAGTTTGGATAAGGTTCTGCAGCAGACAATAGAATTGTGTTGTGTATGGAAGTGTTGTGGTTTGAAAAAAACATAAAACAAACTTGATACCTGACTGGATACAGTAATCCTTTTGCAGCTTCTATCGGATAATAGACTAACATGTGTACAGTACGGTAGAGTGAAACCATTGTTGGCTCAGTTCCGACCGAGTCAGTGAAATATTTAATGATTAAGAAAATAAAATTAATCCACCCGATCCATCCCGAAATAGGCAACAATACTAAATTTCCCAGTACTGTAAAGTTGCCTAGTAACACTTGAGTAAGAAACGTTCCACAAGTAGGTTTCCACCACGTTGGCACGATACTCCATTATGAGAATCGGACACATGGTCAGTCACCTAATTAGTTCGATTCTTTGTAAGCCACCTATTCCAATTCAGGAGCGTAAACGCGCTACTGCCGAGAAAAGCCGATTGGCTTGTTCTGTAAACTAGGCTACCATAAGATTATTTACTGCTATGGTTTCCATTCCATGTTTGCTTTTTGGTTGTGCGTTGTACAAATGGTGCAAGCTTTGGCCTTTCAATCCAGTGGAAGGCTGCTACAGGCCTGATTAACAGCGAACATAACCATGGGGACGTGAACTTTTTACTGATTTAGGCACTTTAATCGCTAATCACTTTATCAGTGAACGAAATCCCGCACGCTGAGGTCAGCATGCCATAAAAATGTAAAGTCAGTTCAGTAATTTTTTTTCAGGTCTAAACTCAACCGAATCGTTCGCGAACAAGGAATGTATGAAAATATATTATTATAACTATGTGACGTTATTAAATTTGAAAAATAATTAATAACGAACGGCGGCTAGAGATATTAAAATGTGTCTTTAAATTGTGTGTGGCGGTCGGTGCTAGGCCCTTCGCCACAGAGCGTAGACTTGGTGCAGTATAATTAGACACCCCCTGAACATCGTAATTTCATCGGGTTATGAATCTTGTTACGGTTCTTGTCCGATCGTGTTTTCAGGCCTAGGTTAGGTTGCGTTCTATTGCTAATTATATATGGTTTGTGCACAACTGTGGTGTAATTCTTATTTTAGGATTGTAATGTTTATTTAATAACTTTACTTAAGTTAATGTTAATGTTTTAGGTCTATTTTTTTCAACGTTTTCTAAAGTGGTTCACGCTAGCTAGGGGTAGGCTTAGGCCTATGCTTTTCTATAGACTATATACTATCAATTAAAATATTAAAAAGGGCCAATGCCTGTTATATGGCTAGTAACTAATTATTATATACTGCACATGTATATTTTCTACTAATAGGCCTACTGGGCTATATATATTTTTATAAAGTACATTAGTGTTTTTATTACTATAATTCAATTAATTAATGGTGTATGCCTAGGCCTAGCCTATTAATTATATGTATGTACCGTACATGTGAATATTTTTCTTGTTCTTGCTGAAGTTTGACTTTCTTGTAGAAGTGTTTATTAGTACAGTTGAAGAAAATAATTTTTTTTTTTTTCCAAAAAAGTACAAAATTAACTTCATAAATTTCTAACTGAACAGGGGTACCAAGCTATTTTTGTAGCAAAAACACTAGTTAAAATATGCCCACAGGAAGATGTCAAACAAGATGCGTTGCATATGGCTGTGCAAAGGCTAGTGTGTTTGTCATCTCAAATTAACACGAGCACTCCCTCGTTAGTTGCCATGTCTACATCATCGAAAATACAGTAGTGCAATATTTTACGAATGCCCGCATAGAAACCTTGGCCCTCGCAGAGGTCTGGTTTGTAATATTATGGTCTTTGTAAGCTCTGTCATGGCTAACATACCTGCGGGCATAGGGAGAAGTATTGCAACCCCAAATTTAATGGGGTATAATATGCAGTAACTAGATCTGAAAAAAATAAAAATATTTATTTTGTATAATCAAACAATTTCACCTAAAATAAATTATCTATATATTAATTCTACTAACGTCCTGGTGTGATTTCACCTATCTCCTCTAAAACTGCTGGAAGGAATGTGCTCATATCTCATACACTGGGGTTTCTATATGTTACGACCACATTCGCCTTTGAAATTACTTGCAGTCTTTTCAAGCTATCTTATTTTGTGGATTTATTTTCAACTTGCAAGATATCCTTTGTTTATTGTAGTCTCGATCGACATGTCCGCTCGCAAGTCTTTGTGCTCGGCGTAAGTATTCACGAAATAGACACAATGCATTAAATACTAATTCATGTTATGATGATTAGAAAGTCATGAAGAAAATCATTATATACACTGAGATTGAACCCAAGACTTTGGAATTGGACGGCAAGCACTAAACTACAATTTCACAGTTCCACAACACACATTATTTTACAGTTTTGTTTGTACTCTATATTATTATTAGTTTAACTGTCCTATTTAGTTTTTTTACACATAATGTTATGATGTTACCTAAAGTAAAATAGATTTTGATGTTTGATGAAAACTTCTTTTGACTACTTTTAATGATGACCTGTTTGTGTTTGTCTAGATGAATACATCTTTCAATCGTGATGCTATGAAGGCTGGGACAGGACGTCGATTCTTAGGCGGCATTCTCAACAAGAATACCATGTGTTATACTCTAGAGGTGTCCTTCTTTTGTTACACTCTGAATCAAGGCAGTTCTATATACCCATATGATGAAGATAGCTGTATCCTTTGTACAACCAAGAAAAATAACAGGATTCTCATAATTTAATGTCATATAGTCCTGGGTGGAGTGCTTTCTAAATGGACAGGGACAACAGTATGTTTGCATCAAAAATCGGCATAGTATTACTACACAGGCTCAACATTAATTATTAATATATACAAAACAAAGATGATGTTGGTAATCTATGAGTAAGATACCCAAATGGACGAATATGAAATGTATTAGAGTACAATTTAATGGTAGTTTGAAATTTGTTTAATAAAAAAATATTTTTAAGGTAACCAATCCTGCTCTGAGATCCTGCCCCTAGCATACAATAATAAAAAAAAAATAATATTAAAATTATTTAAGTATAAATTAAATTTTTCATTTTACAACCAGATATTTTCCCTTAACTACATGTTTGTCAGACATGAAACTAGGAAGAAATCTAGCCAAGACATTCTTAGACTATTACAAGCTCACGTTGCTTATCACACCAAAGGCAACACTTGTAGGCCAGGTCCAATCAGTAAGTTCTTTTATACTGCCCATTATAAACATTGGTGGGCTAAAATTGCCTGTCTTTTACAGCAGCTCTTAATATCCATTTTCCTCTGCTATTCCTCCCTCTTTTTTTTTTTTTTCAAATTGTATGTTTTTTTTTTTTATATATAATTTGGATTATTGTATGTATTTTATATAATTTGGACAAAAACAATTCTCGATATTCTCGACAATGCAATACAATTTCCAGAAATATCTTATGTAATCCCTTTTTTTCTGTTACCTACAGAAATCGAGCCGTCCTTCTAAGGGCCATCGAGTTACCGATGGGCGGGCGCATTCCGAGATGAGGAATTATCCAAAACCTGGAGTTGTGTACGATCCCAGCAGCTTTGGATCGCAAAGTCTAAATGATATGACCCTTAACTATCGCCTACAAAATCGTGACTTTAAGAGGTAGCATCGACTATGTGGAAAATGAACTAGCCTAAAGCAGGCTTTAATGGGGTTAATAGCAGGCTGAAATTACTCTCTTGGTTTATGTCATGTAGACATCTACAGGATGCAATCAGGCCTTTAAAAGGTTCAAGATCCTTAGCAAGCTCTTTGTCAGATATAGCAGGCCCTTTTGGAGGTACAGTAGTTCTAACCTGGATCCTAGAAGGCTTCTGAGCAGGCTGCTAGATATCTTTATAGGCCCCAGCAAGCCTTTTTGGCAGGACCCTAGCAATAGTCGCTGGCATGTTACAAATTAGCCTAGGGTACTTGCATGCCATGGCAAGATCCAAGCTGGGAAGATTTTTGCTTAATGAATGCCCTAGTGCAATGTGATTACAGTAGGAACCTTTCAATATTAAAAGACTTCAGTTCCTGTTAAATAGGTGCTATGTTGCATTGGTATTCAAGTCTATTTTCATAAAGATAGCAATACTTTATCACATTGTGTCTTTGTTTATTATTAGATGTCTTTCTAAATTTATTATTATTGGTTGCACAAAATGAGCAACACATTCCAAGTAAGCATACTAAAGGAAATCACACATTATGGTTGCCAGATACTGGTGCTCTATATGATATCATGGAATAAAAAGAATCCATCTTGTCAGCTACAATTTTTTTACTTGTCCTATTTGTGGTGGCTATTTCATAGATTAATTTTGTAAACTCAACTCTCCTGAAAAAGATAGCAAGATTGATTTTAGTTATTTTTAATATTAATTTGCAATATAACTATTGTGGAGTACTTAACTTTTATAACCAAGTCTATAGATTGTATTTTATATGCAAGTCAACTGCAGACAGCAAAATCAGCTTAATTATAAATGTGCGCCTCAGAAAGTTATTTCAAACTTATTTTGAATAGTGACAACAACGAAAGTAGGGCATTCCCAATGGGTAGGCCATTCCCAATGGGTAATCCATTTGTGCTTTCAAAGTTTCTATTACATTACAGTATGTGTATCTTGATCAACAGGTCATAATTATTACATATTTCTATTATTGAATATCCTTATTAAAACAATTGTTTTGTCACAAATATATTCCATTATTAATAGCATTATTGAAACAAAATTAATTTTCTAATCAAAATTATTGAGTATTATTTTCATCATAATCAAAATTATGAATGTTTACTTTAATATTGTTCATCATTATTCTAAGTGCTGTGTGGATTTGACCTTTAAAATATATAGAATCAAACTTGCCTGATGGCGTTAGACTCTGTCTGACTACAAATATGTTTTGAAATCTAGAGCACTGAGAATGTGTTTGTGTCAGCATCGATTGTAAAAGACAAGTTCTTACTGTCTTTAAATATCAGTTACTAATTATGTTTGTATTATTAATTCACTATGAGCACTAGCTGCTTGCATGGCATTATTTACCAAACGGTGTGCAGCACCTTGACCGTATTATTTGATGAACTTATGCAATGATTCAATTTGAGCATGCCATTATTTACTCTAAGCAGTTACTGTGCTGTAGTATGGTATTGAACCTATAGTAAGCAGTGGATGCTTTAGGTTATATAATTAGGGGGAGCAAGCAGTCAAACAGGGGCTTACAAATTCTGGCAGAGGCCAACAGGGCCCAGGTGCCTAGAAATTCTTGTAAATTTTGGCTATTTCAAGCTGTTCTCTGATGTTTTTGAATGTATCATGCTTAAAGATATTAAAACATTGGGTTTTTTAAAATTTTTGGTTTGACAAATTGTGGCAGATGGGGCCTTGGCCTGTTCCACAGGGATTAATGGGCCCTTTCCCACTGGTGCTGGAATTTACAGTACCTACCATATGTAATGTATCATTTATTATACTGTGTAGGCAGCTACTGTACTACATACTAATTACATACCCACATGCTGGTGTGTGGAGTGTACATTCTATTGAATTAAAAAAAGGAAATTCACCTCATAATTATGTTTAAAGTGTTTTCTTTAATTAATTTCATAAACAGATATATCTTGACATCTTGCCCTTTTTCATGGGATACAAAACTCTACCTCAACTTAGAAGTATTAAATCATAAAGTCATCTATAATTATATTTATAATATTAATGACAATAATAATAATACATTACTCTTGCACTTCTTTTTGAAGAGATAAATAATGTAAAAAATATACAGATGGAATTCAAACCCTTCATCTGCAACCGATTTGCAAATATCTCACCAATTTAATCACACCTAAAAAAATATGATGAATAATTTATTCCTCTTGATTTATAAAGATTTTTGTATTTTAAATAAGTACAGAAAATGTACTTCTGAAAGCTTTGTTCTTTGTAAAATGATTGTTTTCACACCAACTGTTGTAGTAAGTCAAAACAGCCAGTACCGCCAGCTACCACTCTCCCAACGACAAGTCTGGCAGACGGTGACTTCAGCTGATCAGACACTCCTGAAAAAACAACAATAAAGACATGTTTAACATGTTTTTAAAGAAAACATTAGTATATGTTCATGTTTCAAATATTATTACCCAAGCCTCATGAAGACTAGAGGAAATGAACTCAGGACCATGAAAGCAAGTATCTTAACCGCCAAGCTACAACTACACTCCGCCAACACTGGAGGGTCCCGGCGATTGTAGGGCAAACATCTTAACCGCCAAGCTACACTACACCAGCATTGCAGGAACTGAACCCAGGACCCTGGGAATAGAAGGCAAGCATCTTAACCACCAGGCTACAACCCCTCTTCATCAACATTGTTGGATTTCAACACATGACACTCAGATTTTTAAGGCAAACATCTTAATCAACAACACAACTCCAGCCCAAAATCGTAGAATATAAACCCAGTACCCTAGGATTGGAAGCAAGCATATTTTATATGTTTGTTATTTTAATGTTATATTAAGTGACAAAACATAATCAGCCTTAAAAGCTGCTTTCCACTGAAGCCACTGTAAACTGTTTTTACTTGAATGATGTAAACACATACCGTGCATTGTAGCCTCTTTCAAGAAATGCATTGTACTCTCAAATGTCATCTTTTGTAGAGGTGATGCATTAGTCTCCAGTCCAGTCCTATTAAAGGGTTTGTAGACTCCCTCAAATGTCATGTAATCAGCAATCAATGAAAGATGGCGGGGGTCAACCGTGATACCATACACTTTAAAGACATCTCGCATTTCCTGGAAGTAGTAAATTAATGTTATTCAACTCAAAATATCTAAATTTATAAATTAAAACAATCGTACACAAAAACATTTCTACATGTTTTGTATACTGGACCAGTGGCTTAACATTCAATCTGAAGGGAAAGGTAATTAGACTACATTGTCTTAACTCAAGAACACAAATGAAGAACTGTACTGGCAAACTAATCAATATTATATTACTAGTACACAGCTTTCCTGCATACCTTTACAATGACTCTGCATGCAGCTTCTATACCGTATGTCCTGGCCACGGCATGGATATCATTGGAGTAGAGTTTATTCAGATCCAATAACTTATCATACTTGAATAGCTCCTAAAAATGAAATAAAAAAATCTGGCTTATGAGAAGTTGAATTATTAATTAATAGTCACTTTTTTATTACAATCTTATCAAGGATTTTGTCAAAGAATGACATTTTATGCCAAACAGTTGACAATATAAAAAATATTCAAATTCTTACTCTAAAATTAACTCCTTCTGTTTTCAGTCTTTTTTCACCATCACTGTCTTGGATAAAACATCGGGATATACCAGCTGTCTCGTACACTACTGCTTTCTGGGCTTCAGTCAGTATGATAGTGCCAAGGTCTAATTTACTGTCTTGCAGCTCAAACTTCAAAAGGAAAAAAAAACATTATTTTGCAGTACTACAGAAGACAACATACATCAACAATATAATAATTATTTGATAATTGTCACACTATAATATCATCACTATAACCACATCACACCACCACAACCACCATCGTCAGCATCCTGATTATGAATCACATAGTGAAATTCTCATTGTTAGCACACTTATTAGGTTTCTTGTTCAATAAGCTTACCTGTAGTACTAGTTCACACCATAAGCTATCAACAGTATCAAACTTATAGTTGGAAACCTGTGTCGAAGTACACAATACAGCCTGAAAAAAAAAAAACCACCATTAAAATGTAATAATGGTGTTATATAAATTGAATATTTGCACCAAAGCAACTGTGAGCTTGGCATTACTTTATATACAGAAAAAATGATTGTTACTCGACAGTTCAGGTAGCACACATGACAAGAAGGAAAGTACATTTTAGATAAGTACTACATAATATATACATTATTTCTAATTGAGTGCAGGTTTTAGATGATTAATACATTTAAAGCTTCCAGTACAAGAAGACAAGGTTTATCTCTAGGTGTTCTTTTAATGATGCTGACAAAGATGTTAGACTCCTCTACATTTGGGTGAGATTTGTATTAGAAACAACAGAGCAGATTTGGAGGTGTGCTTGTGAATAGAAGCAAGAATTTCCCTCCAGCTATATTTTCAAATTTACTGTCATGTAACAAGCTTCTTTAATTAGTCAATCCAATTAAGATATCAACCATGGATGCATAAACCTGACTTACATTAATTCTTGCATCCTTTTCTTCTGTGGTGACTTTGCGGTTGGAATTCAGCATTTTCTTCCTCATCACCGTATCACTCATAAACTCATCGGTCTCATCAGAACCTGACCTTTCGCTGACCTCTGAATCAACAAAGGCATCCTCGTTACCTGGAAAAAAAGAGCAAATAGGGTATAATGATCTATGTTGACTATAATTTGCTTTAAACATTGTGTGCTGTCTACATTGTAATAATACACTATTTTTCTACATAAATACACCTTTGCTGCCATGCGGCATGATGTGCTAAGATTTCTTCCCTTGTACCACAACAAATTTTAACCGGCACTACATACTTTCAGTTGAAACTGGGGATAAGCTTCAGCCCATATTATGAGCTTGTGGCTTGGCAAGGATTTACTACATTATTCCAATTGCTTCATGTAATATAACACAACATCCCAGTTTCATTTGATACAAAGTATAAAATGAACACTAACCTGAGTCAACATTTTCATCCTCTTCATCATATTCCTTCTCCTCATCTCTCTGTCCTTGGTACTTCCTATCTGCTGCATCACCATCTCCTTCTTCGTCGCTCTCTCCACCATCTTCCTTCTTATTTGTCTCTGATTGGTCATTTGCTTCCTGATTTAAATTGAACTCGTCATTGTCACCTGTTCCAGTGGGCTCCTCTGATTGGCTGTTCTGATTGCCTGCTTCTCCAACAGCAGCATCCTCCATAGCAAACTTTGACCCCACTGATCTAAAGTTAACTTCTCTGAAAACATTTTAAACATTTATTTCATAGCTACTCTTTTAAAATTTCAACTGGAAGGCTAAAAATACAAATTATTACAGTGTATCATTTTTGGAAGAGAAGCCATTCGTCCCATGTTCATCAAAGCCCAATTTGACTTGTGAAAGTGAACGGAAACTCAAGTAACACAATTATACTGAATGGCCAAAGTCATAGTTCAATCAATGAGAAGAATCATTCTGTTTTGCTTTTAATAACTATTTTGCAAGGAATGGAGAGTTTGCAGAAAATCTGATTACTACTATAAAATACATACCTTGTTCTTTTCAACTCCTTACACTTCCTTTTAAGGGTTTCTGTCAGCTGTTTCACAAATGTCTTCTCAAAAAAATGCAGCACTGATGTAGGAGTAGCATAGCAATCCTCCTACAAAAGATACAAACACATCAACAATGTCATTATGTGAGTGGATATCCAGTTTCTGGCGTGTTCTCTGGTAGGCCTATGTGCATGAGTTTTGTATTGTGTTTCTGGGTCTATATCCTGTGAATGGTTTGTCCTCCAGTAGACCTATTTGAATGTGAATTGTAATAATTCGCTGCCTGATTGAGTGAATGATTGATTGAATGGATGACTGAGAAATTGATAAAATGATTGACTATTTGATTGAAGATGCAAATTATTGATGTGTTAGACCTGTAAAATGACACCCTAAAATGCAATCATTTTATTCTTCTTACCTCGTATTCCTTTTGGGGCAGAAAATTAAAGCGAACCTTGTAAATACGATTCTGGTCCCTGGAAAAAAGCAGTTATATGATCCAATAGTGATTTTGACATTATAGTAATAACAAGTAGAAATAAGTAAAATAAAATAAATGAAGGTGAACGAACACTGACTTACCAATTATTCCTAATGTTGTAGCTTTCATAAATATCAACATCTTCAATGACCTAAATGTAAAAAACAATCAATAATTAAAAATTTTACAGCAAGGAAACTCAGGATATACAAAAATATGTAAGAGTCTGTAAGTCTGAGGTTTATCAGATTTTCTCTGTTTCTGATAAAACTATATCTAACAGTGTATGTTTGTTTCAGATATAATTGAACAAACAAATTTGGAAAAATGGAAATCTTACCATGTTTATTTGAAGTTGACCAATGATCTCCTTCATTAATGTCTAACATTAATGGACATTTTTTACAATGAGCTAACCAATGAAGCACTATACCTGAGAGAGGTGAACACGCATAAGCTTCTTGCGTAGTCTTGCTGCTCGTTTGTGTGCATAGCGCCGACCGTGGAATGGAACATCCATTGAGGGAGTCTTGATGTTGGCACTTGCTACAATCAAAATCTCTCTAGAAATGAAACAGACAAAAAAAAATGATGTAAAAAATATAAACTATATTGTTTGACTAAAATGTTCAAATTATGAGAGGTTTGAGATTTCAGTACATGTGAGCACATGTTGAATATATATAAAGTGATTTGAAAACCACAGAGAATGGAATACAACATAGGATTATTTCTGCCATATATTTTACCTTAATCTTGGAATACCAAGAGTAACATTCATTTCACCCCTACCAGCAAAATGGAAAGTGTTCAATGTCATCTGTGTTGAAGGTTCACCAATTGACTGCAAAAAAAACACTACTCTTGAAATATGTATACACATTTTCACACATACTACTAATCAGTAAATTATCAGTTAGATCTTTGGAATTAAAGAAGCTACACTGCTGTCTCTTATACACATCTAGATGTGTATAAGAGACAGGTGTGCTGTCTACATTGTAATAATACACTATTTTTCTACATAAATACACCTTTGCTGCCATGCGGCATGATGTGCTAAGATTTCTTCCCTTGTACCACAACAAATTTTAACCGGCACTACATACTTTCAGTTGAAACTGGGGATAAGCTTCAGCCCATATTATGAGCTTGTGGCTTGGCAAGGATTTACTACATTATTCCAATTGCTTCATGTAATATAACACAACATCCCAGTTTCATTTGATACAAAGTATAAAATGAACACTAACCTGAGTCAACATTTTCATCCTCTTCATCATATTCCTTCTCCTCATCTCTCTGTCCTTGGTACTTCCTATCTGCTGCATCACCATCTCCTTCTTCATCGCTCTCTCCACCATCTTCCTTCCTATTTGTCTCTGATTGGTCATTTGCTTCCTGATTTAAATTGAACTCGTCATTGTCACCTGTTC